CACTTCTTCATCCAAACTCTTTTTTTAAAAAGTATATTTTGCCAATTCTTTAAGAATTACATATAGCGAATTTTGATAATATTCACATATCTTCTCCAAACTCCTTCCAGATCCACCTTCTCCTTCCTTTCCTGCCCCCTTCAATTTTGTGTCCTTTTATGTTTTGAAACAAGGCTGTCTCGAAACAGATGTCCTGATCCTCTGGCTCTTACCACCTTTCTGCTGTCTCTTCCACTGCATTCCCTGAGCCTTCCATGTAGGAGCTGTGCTGTAGATACATCTGCCGGACACGACACCCATGGCCAGCTGGTCCCTACATTTTGAGCAGTTGTGGTTTTCTGTGCTGGTTGCCATCTACTGAAAAAAGCATCTTCTTTGATAAAAGTGAAAGCTGCACTTACCTGTGGGTATAGGATGAGTATTTAGAATGCAGTTAGCAATCATCCTGCTTTGAGAAAGTGGTAGTAATTGGTTCTTTTCTCTGTCCCATGACCTCACCTCGTTGGCTATGTTACAGTCCCAGACAGGAATTCTCCCTTGTTTGAGGGGGTCTTGAGTACAACTGGATGGATGTTGGTTACCCTCAAAATGTCAGTATCACTGTTGCCACTCTCAGAATATCTCGCCATGCCTATCCTTGTGGTTCATAGGTTTTACAGCCAGGTAGGACTAGTAATGGTTTTTCTCCCCTGGGAGCTTCCAAAGCTGCTTCTGAAACGTGTCTGCCCTCATGAAGCTCACAATCCAGTAAAGTAGACTTTCTTACTCTTTGTCCTAGGTTGTTTTTTGAGGAGGTACAGGTGCCCTTGCTTCAGTGTGCCAAGCCAGGCTATATTGAGCTATGGTGGACATGGAGAAAGGCAAAAGAGTATTGTGCTCTTTGGTAGAACGCTACTCTTAAAAGAAAATGACACGTTATGGAACATATCAAGGCTATGGAGCCCCTATTATTGATGAAAAAAGACAGTGAATAAACTAGAGGTTTTCAGTATCAGCACATTGACACTGTAGATCAGATAGTTGTTGTCGGAGGCTGTTCTGTGCATTGGTTGGTGGCAAACCTCAATCAACTCGATTCCAATAGTGTCTGCTTCAAGGGAGGCTGTGACAACAAAAAGTTGTCTCTAGATTGCCAAAAGTACCCTAGTAAGCAAAATCACTCCTAGCTGTAAATGACTGGGATTTGTTTTGTTTGTTTATTTTTGCATATATAAAGTGTGACTTCAAAGGAATATAACAACCCTCTTTAGATGACCACAAGGCAATCATGTATGTTAAGATTTAAACAAAAATGTTAAATTAGGCCAGAGGGATAATACTAGAAAAAATAGAAAATCATTTTTAGACAGAAATTTATTAGCTTCAGGATACTCTTAGTTTTATAACATCCTCTGGTAGAACTTATTGAATCCTCAGGTCCTGGTAAATTACAGGGGGCTTGGCTACATAGCTCACGTTAGTGGGATTTAAGCATTTTACATTTCTGAGTGTCTTCATTTGCTTTCTGTTGTTGTGATAAACACCATGACCAAAAGCAGCTCACGGAGGAATGGTTTATTTGACTTAAATATCCCAGGGCATAATCCACTGAGGAAGCCAAGGCAGGAACCCCAGGCAGGGATCTAGATGGAGGAACTGAAGTAGAACCCGCCAGAGAATCCTGCTCACTGCCTTGCCCCTTGTGGCTTGCTTGGTCTGCTTTCTTATATCGCCTAGGACCACCGGACTAGGGGTAGTGTCGTCCACAGTAGGCTGGGCCCCTCCCAAATCAAACATCAGTTCAAAAAGTACCCACAGATGTGCCTACAGGCATTTTCTGGACTAAGGTTCTTCTTCCCAGGTAACTCTAGCTTGTGTTCAGTTGACAAAACTACAAAACTAACCTGGGAATATAGCGTCCTTCAAATCCTGAATATGTTCCATTTATTTCTAAAGCAGGTATTTAAGGAATTAAAAGAAATCTGTTGGGGATTTTGGAGAGATATCAGAGTGAAATGATAGCAGTCATAGTCCAACTGGCTTTTCAGGTAGTCTGTCTAAGCCCAGTGCCAACAACTCTTACCCATGCAGAGTGTTGGCCACACACACTTTTTACTTGTATTCCTTCATTGGATACATTTGTGTATTTCCTCTTTTTAAAAACTCATGAGGGGCTAGAAGGATATTGTAGTCAATATAAGTACATTGCTGTGCAACCAGAGGAACTTAAGTTCAACCCCCAGAGCACATGTAAAAAGTTTGGGTGTGGTGGCACATGCTTGTAATCTCAGGATTGGGGAGGGAGATACAGGCAGACCTCTGGGACTTTCTAGCCAGCCAGCTGAGAATACTTGGTGAGTTCCATGCCAACAAAAAATTCTTTTTCAAAAAACAGGTGAATGGCAACCAAGATTGACCTCTGGCCTCTGCACACAAATGCACACAGGTTTAGATAAGATAAATTTATTAAGATAAAATAAGATAAATTTATTAGGGTACACAGTATTTTGGGGGAACACAATACCACCACATTTCCTCTCTTTTTGTCTAAAATTAAAAAAAGCTTATAGCTAATACAAGAAAAACTATCTCCAATAAGTATATGCAATATACAGTCAAGATTACATTAACATTGTCTAGTCCATTAATATTTGACAGATTCAGACCAAAAACTCCATTATATATATTAACAATGTCCAGTCCAATAACATCTGATAAACTCAAACCAAAAAAATTTTTTTTTTTTTTTTTGGTTTTTCGAGACAGGGTTTCTCTGTGTAGCTTTGCGCCTTTCCTGGAGCTCACTTGGTAGCCCAGGCTGGCCTCGAACTCACAGAGATCCACCTGCCTCTGCCTCCCGAGTGCTGGGATTAAAGGCGTGCACCACCAACGCCCGGCCCAAAAAATTTTTATTACTTATCTTATTTAAAACAAGTAGTTCCTTTTTAAAAGTAGATTCCATAATCTCCCTTTTTATCTTATCATATCCATATTCTCTCTTTTTTCTTTTCATAATAGATTCAGTACACATGCACATACACACACACTCATTCACACACTAGTTATGAGCATTGTATAATGTTATATAAATAGGGCCTTTGGTAAGGAAGTCAATGGTAACTGTTATGATTAATGCATCCAATGTGCTTTATAGGTGTTCTAAGAACACTGTCAATTTGAACAGTAACTTCTTACTAATGGTGCTACCAGGCATGCTGTAGAGGAAGATCATAATAGGGCAGTTTCCTTCTTTTTTAACTTTTCTAAATTCTTTCCTTGAAAGAAAATATTTTATGATATGTGGAAAGATATTCAAAATCTATAAGGTGGCTTTTGAGGATTCTGCCAGTAAGACTCTTCAGCATTCATGTCAATGTTGTGAGTTTTAGTTAAGAATCTCATATTTCATAGTTTTTTGACATATGATAAAAATTGAAAAAATCATATTATGCTTACTGTAGGATAGAGAAAGAAGTTTAAGTCAAATATGAATCTGGGCATGATCACACGTTTTTATTGTGTATATACTAACCTAGCACTCAGAATTTCTCTAACCTAGTTTAAAATTAAACAAAATAAGTCATTTCCTCCTCTTTACTATTGTTAGTATTTTAAAGAAAGAGAATAAGAATTTTTGTCACCTTTCTCGACAATCCAAGTCTATGCAAGAGAAAGTTTCCATAGCTGCCTGTGCAAGGTACATCCCTGCATCCCACCCTAGATCCTGAGGATGGAACTATCCCAACTGTACTTCAGGTATCCATTTTCCAGGACTGACTGTATCTGCAAATTGTATAAAGGTTTGGAAAACTGTGTGCTGATCTATAGCATCACCCTCAAAGTTACATTTTAAAGGGAATTTGATACTTCCATTTGTTTCTCTGTAGCAGCAAATCATACTAATCTAGAGCAATGCTAATCAAGGCACAGCACATTTGGACAGGGTGGAATAACATGCAGGATTGCGAGTCTGGGAGTTAGAGAGGAGACCATTTGTGGAAGCAGAGGAAGTCTAATACCTTAGGCACAATATAAACACAAAAGACAGTGAGCAGTGAATTCCAAGAAAGGCTCAGGCCCCAGTAAATAAAGGGAGTGTAGTTTCAACAAGTAGACAATAACTAACAGTGAGATGTTTGAAACTTTATATGCCTAGCTTTGGAGAAACAATTAAATGATCACTGTCAGAAACAATGCATGTGAATTCTACTTGTGACTCCTTGGCTTGAGCCCATCACTTGGTCTCATGCTAACGTAGGGAAACTCAGAAGTGCATGCACCTCTAAGGGGAAATGGAGGGTATTTATCTGAAAGTAGCATTGACTCACCAGTGAAAATATACACTCCAGGTGACTCTCTAGCAAGCTGATTCAGGAGGTCCTTGGGATCTGCATTGGCCTTCTCAGATAAATCTGTTGCAGGGGAAAGCAGAAGGGATAATCCTGGACAACAATTTAAGGAACACAGAAGTACAACATCTTATCATAACCATCAAGAGGAAGGGAACAAATCCAAGATAGGTCGAATTATAGTCACAGAGGCTAGAGGTACCAGGGTCCAGTGGTCTGGAGGGCTGGAGAAGTTTTTCCAAACTCTGAAAGTGGAATTGTGTCTGAGGTAGAGTAGACCTTCATGCAGATCAAGCTGCTCAAGACTTTGGGAGATGAAGAGGGATGTGGCGCCAACTCAAGGCAATGACCTTCAGATGCAATCTAAAACATATTTATGTACTAACAGAATATATAAGCTGTGTGCTAATATTCTTATTGTATGATTGTCTTTTCTCTTTCCTTTCTCCTTCTTATTCCCTTCCCTTTCTTTCTCCTCCTCCTTCCATTTATTCCCAATTTTCCTTCCTTACTTTACTCTCTACCCCCTCCTCCAATTCTTTTTTCTCTGATGCTGCCCCTTCTTTCCATCCCTTCCTGCTCCTGTCTCTTCCTCCTCTTCCCCGTCTATTATCTTTCCCTTCTCCCTCTCATTTCTCCTTGCCCGTGGTCCGCCCCTCATTGTCTCTCCAGGTATTATGCCATCTGCTGCCAACCTTTGGTTTATAGAAGCAAGATGACCCCTGTCCGCATCGCACTAATGTTGGGAGGCTGCTGGTCCATTCCCATGTTTATATCTTTTCTCCCCATCATGCAAGGCTGGAACAAAATTGGCATTTATGATGTGGTGAGTATCCATGCAGATGCCATGTGGATATTAGCCAGTCAACTTTGCCAGCTATTCTAGATAAGCAGATAATACTAAATTTGTTATCTGTTTTAATGGAGATATTACAATACTGGTCTGAGCCACATTTCTAAATGTCTACTGTCAGTCTCAACTCAGCAAAATGTTAGCCAGGGTCATCTGAATTATCTTCCCAACTAGACCTTGTGTCTTTGAAAGTTTATTTATTTATTATTTGAGAATTTTATACATTAACACAATATATTTAGATCACATGAACCCCTAGGCACCAAAGTTTGGATTTCTATATCTATCTTAATTTCTTTCCTGTGCTATGAGAAAATACCTTCAGAGACTTGAAATTCTCATAATACAGTTTTTTCACTTGCTTGGTTAGAGTTACACCAAGATATTTTATATTATTTGAGGCCATTATAAAGGGCATTGATTCTCTTATTTCTTTCTCAGCCCTTTTATCATTTGTATATAGGAGGGCTACTGATTTTTTCTGAGTTAATCTTGTATTCAGTCACTTGACTAAAGGTGTTTATCAGCTTAGGAGTTCCCTGATAGAATTTTTGGGGTCCCTTATATAAACTATCATATCATCTGTGAATAGAAGTACCCTGAAAGAAAGAAGTTAAGGGAGAAATGCCTTATTTTAGCTCATGATTTGATACCATCGTCCATCATGGCAGAGAAATCAAGGCAGTAGGAGGAACCTGAAGCAGCGAGTCCTATAATGTCCACAGTCAAAAGAGAACAATGAATGTTCACTACTGCTCAGTGCACTGTTTTGACGTCCACATTCCAGAACCCCTGCCTGGAGAATGGTCCTACCCACAACTAAGATGGGTCTCCCCATATCAGTTAACATGCTCAAGATAAACCCCCACAGATATACCCAGAGGCCCTTCTTGCTGGTGATTCTAGATTCTGTCAGGTTGACAATTAATTCTGATCAACACTATGTCCAACTTTACATTGCCCAGTTTCAGCAAGAACGCTGGTAAGTTGGTTTAACTAGACTCCCCCATCCTCAGTAAAGTACCAGGCACTTTATCCTTCCCTGTCCCCAGGTTATGCCTGATTGTCCTGGCTTGTCTTCAGCAAGAATCCTGCTAAGTTGACTTAGCTAGAATCCCACCTGCTTCTCACATTTACGCTTCATAATTTTCTGTCCGCTGATCCTCACCAACCAAATCCTTGGCTATAAATCCCTGCATTGTTTTGTTTAGAGTTGAAGCTAATCTCTTTCTGCAAAATCACAGTATTTTCTCTTGTTTATGAAGATAATGTAGAACAAAGGCTGCTTTAGCAAGTGTTTCAAATAATTTTTTTAATATTTCTGTATATTGGACAGGACAGTGAGCACTTTACATGTAACCCCAAAAGAATCCTTTTAAGAAAAGTATAATTATGCCCATTTAAGATGAGTGGGTTAAGCTGCATTCCCCATGCCATGTAGTTTTTCTGTAGGAGAACAGGGATTTGATTTTAACAATCAGTTCTCAGAACTTGAGGTATATCATATGTCCTGAGACACCTTCATCCTATTTCATGTTCAGAGTCTATAAGGTCTGCAGTGCCTGGGGAAAGACTCGCCAGATGAATGGAGTCTGCCAGGGAACGAACAGAGTCCTGCACCGGAAGTCAGAGAGTTAATCTGTGAGCCCAGCTCTGTTAATGTTCAAGGAGTATATTAAGGAGGGAAGTTGGAGGCCCGGCATGGTGGTGCACACCTTTAATCACAGCACTTGGGAAGCAGATCTCTGTGAGATCCAGGCCAGCCTGCTCTACAAAGTGAGTTCCAGGATAGCCAGAGCTGTTACACAGAGAAACCTGTCTCGAAAAAACCAAAAAAGAAGGGAAGTTGGTGCTTAGTGAAAATAGTGTCTAATATAAGTGAGATGGGGACATGTGCTACATATACCATGCATTGTCCAAACCCTGGGTATTGGTTTTCCAGAGAAATAGAAGCAATAGGATGTATGTATGTATGTATATATGCATTATGTATGTATGTATGTATGTATGTATGTATGTATGTATGTATCTATCTATCTATCTATCTATCTATCTATCTATCTATCTATCTATCTGATATCTATTTGTTCCTTGCCATATATCTGTCCATCTATTCACCTATATTCTTAGTGAAAGAAAAAGTAGCAGAGACAGATAAATAGACATATTGTAACTGGTCCACATGGTTGTGGAAGTTGACAAGTCTCAGCAAACTAGAGACTCAGGAAAGCCAATATTTCAGTTCAAGTTCAAAGATAGGAAAAACTGATGGCCCTCATTAAGACAATAATAGAGCAGCTCCCTTTCAATCAGCTTCCTTGTTCTGTTCAGGCCTTTAATAGGTTGGATGCAGTGCTGAATTGGAAGAGAACTGATTTATACAATCTGCCAATTCAGAGCTTCATCTCAACCAAAAATGTTGCCATACTTAGAATAGGATTTTACCAAACATCTGGGTACCCCATGGCTTAGTTAAATTGACAAAAACATTAACCATCTCACTGTCAAAATTTATCTGCCAGAGTTCTACTCTGGCATACAAGAAGCATATTGACAATTAAAACGGATGGTCTGGATCCATTGCCAGGGCTATGGAAGATGACATGTAGTCACATAAAGCCAGTCCTCTGGATGTGGGGAAGAAGCCGAAAGAAGAGGCTGAGAATGAATTCTGGCCCAAAAGGACCAGAAAAGAGAGAATTCCCCTTCTTTTCTACACATAACGGTTTTAATTTCCTCTTTGAATAAGAAACTACATTCAAATGAATCCCATGGCCAGGACTTACATTTCAGAACAAGGAATTCTTGCTGAAAATATACAAGTGGAAGGGACTCTCTACTGGGGGAACCTGTAGATAATTTCTTCAGTCCCATACTCTTTCTTTCAGAATGTTGGGTTTTGTTTTGCTTTTCTGTTTGTTTGTTTTTTCATTTGGAGGGGAAATGAAATGCCAATTTCCAAAAAAAAATACTATTATTCAAATAACAGTAATAACAATGGTCAACAAATGTTTATATTTACTGTGTATCAAGTCCCATGTTAATCACTCTTCCAGTGAACCTCATTAAGGACATTCTTGGCTCAGTTGAAACACAGAAGTTGAGAGGTAGTCTTGGGCCAGATTATGTTTGTTTTGTTTTGTTTTGTTTACTTTGAACAATAGTAGGGTGTTTTTTTTTTTAACTTTGAAATTGGAGGATTCAGAAGAACCATCATAGCTAGCCTTCAGAAAACAGTGATAGGGCTACAGGAAACTGGGGAAGCACTGAGGAAAGACTGCAACAGCCCTGCTAAGGGATGAGGGTAACACGGAGTAGGATGACAGTGTCCTGAAGTGGTGAGAAGTTTTGAGAGTTTAGAGGTTCTCTCACTCTGTGTTTATTGGGCCCGTGCATATCTAGGTGTTGGGCCTGCATTACTGAGTAGAGCTGGTAATGGGCCAAATCCTTGTAACTTGATGTCCAACCAGGGAGACGCACACAACAAGCGCTACACTGAAAATAAGAAGACATTTAGAATGTTGGGCAACAATGGCTATACTTTACCTCAGTTTGGGGCTGGAGGGATGGCTCCATAATAAGAACGTATACAGGCCCTACACCACTCATGACTGCCTGTAACTCCAGCTCCAGGGAATCCAACACCTCTGGCTTTTTTGGCAACCTGTTCACACATGCACGTGCCCACATGTGGGTGCATGCACCCACACACACACACACAATTTTCAAATATTAAATCTTTAAAAGGTGGGTTGCTAGCAGATTGAAATTCTAAATAGGGAGTTAGAGTAGGCTCTATTGAGAAAGTGACATCTGAATAAAGACTTTAAGGAGATGGGGGAATTATACTTGTAGGTATCTTGGATTCGCACACAGTGGACATAAAATAGCTGATACAAAGGTCCAGAGGCAAGATGTGCCTGCTGAAGGCCATTACAAAGTTAATTTGGAGGTAATAAAACAGGAAAGGAACTTAAGAAATGATAAAATAAAATAAATGGGGGAGATAATGCATTGTTCTGTGGGACAGTTAAGGCATCAGATTTAACTGTGAGTGATATGGAGTCACTAGAGGGTCTGAGTATATTAGTAGTATGATTTATAGCATTTTTTAAGAATCCTCATTTTTCTGTTAAAAAGCAAACATTAAGGAAGTCTGCTAAAGTGATGTCATGGTAAGAGACAATGATGCTATAGTTTCAGTGGAAGCAACTGCAATTGTGATTCAGAATATAGGTGGATTTTTAATATGAACAGGATCTTCTATATGGTTAGAACAGAAATGTGAAAAGAAAACCTTAGTTCAATACAATCAAGATTTCAGTCAGCACAACTGGAAAAATGGAGTGAATGACTCTTGATTTCAGCTGGAAATTCCAGGTTGAAAATACCATAGGTAGGACAGGTTTTGCGGGTTACAGAAAACATGATATAAGTGTTTAATGCCTGCTGGATGTTTTAGTGCAACTCTCAAGAAATTAGCTTAATATCAAATCATGATATTTATGGGAATTCTCTATCAGAAAGAAACTACATGTTAAGGCATTCTCAGAGCTAGATGCTATTTAAACCCATACAAGTAGACATAATCATCTAGGGAAATAAAGATATATAAGAGAAAATGTCTAAGAAGTGAAAAGTCAGAAATGTAGGGTTGGAAGTTACAACTAAGAAGGAAGCAAAAGAAGAGGGAAAAATTCTAGAAAGCTGTTTAAAAAACCCATCATAAGTGAGGACAGAGAATGTCATTTCTGAGTATGATAACAACTATCCCAACCATAACTATAAGGATGAATAAAATGCATTATAGCCATAACACTTGAGAAGCAGATGCATGAGAAATTCTGGTCCAAGCCAACTTAAGCTACACCATAAAAACCCTGTGTAAGCCTAATCCAGACCAAATCCCAGCATGGAGTGGGAAGATGCACACACAATCCCACCCCTAGCTTTGGAGTGATTGGTCATTGTTA